CGGTTATGTGCGAGAGGATTGCTGGACTCCTCGCCACCGTAGGGTGGTTCACGTAACCGTTGGTTGGTTACGGCTTCCTCCACCATCAAGTCCATGCTTCCCAAAACAAGTAACTGACTTGCACTTTTCAATTATATCATTTTTCTGAATATCACAGAATTCCCCTTTCTCGATGAGTTGTTCAAAGTTGATTTCCATGGAAATGAATCTATTTAACACATAGCTAACTGCGTTTGGATTAGGTACTTGATGAGTTTCAGCCATATTCTTCAGCATGAAGCAGTTGTCAATCTCAAGATTCGTCACAAGATTCTTGACATTAGAGAATAATACAGTGATGAATGAATTCTTTGCAATGTTATTACTTTTCACCAGTGGTTCTTCTAACACTGTCTCCAGAAGAAACTTGAAAGGATAAGTCTGGATGGGATCCCGCCGTCTTTTTAATCGTGGCGATAGCCACAACAGAAACCAGGCACCACGGGCCAGGACATTGATATGAAGTATAGTGATAATTGGGGTGCAAAAGGTATGTTACGGAGAACGGGAAGTGGCAGAGACAAGCGGGAGGTGTCAAAAGACAGCTGACGGTACCCCGATCAGCAGAGAAATTTTTCAGAAAAATCGGGCCAGAGGAAGTGGGCCAAAACTGGATTTTAGTGGCCCAAATTTGAGGATGTGCGACATTGCCATTTTCAGGCTGTCAATCAAGACACGCAAGAGTGATTTTGGGGTTTAGAAGCCCTTTGGCTGCGTATCCGGGCCGGGAAAGGGTTTGCCCGGGCATTGGGAATTTTTCCAAACATGTTTGGGGGTGGGGGATGTGCCCCCGCCCCCCCAGTGGTGAGAAAACGTGTAGAAAGCCACGCCCACTTAGGTAATTTGGTTTTGGGCTATTAGGAGCACTTGGAATCGGTTTTTGGGCAAAGTGATGCTTAAATATGGAAGGGACTAATTAATAGAATATATTACCACCTCAACTTTGGGGAATCCCCTTCCCCGTAACGGTCCAGTGAGTTCGGAATGTTGCGCTTAAGATTTGAGATATTGAGAAAAAAAAAGACATAGGCAGGTTGAGAAAATTTAGTTTAACACTTTTTTCAAGAAATTTTTTATCTCCGGTGCCTCCGTCACGGTCTAGTGATTTTGGCCTTTTGCCGGCTTCTGAGTGGTCCTATCAAGAATCTAAAGGTATGGGCATGATCAGAAAACTTATTCCAATCACGTATCAGCAAAAATTTTTTTTCTAGTATACATCAGTCACGGTCCAGTGATTTTAGGCCATATCTCGAGAACGGTAATAGATAGGGGTCTCGTATTTGGGTTATACAAGGTAGTTAGAGTGTAGTTTATGCCTATAGAATTTCGTCACGGTCGAGTGATCACGGACCCTAAAATCGATAGAAATGGACTCCAGTCCGTACCGTTGAAACTGTTTATGTTAGGGGGGGTCGATGGCGTCGGTCGGATCATGCCGCGATCCGTCCGACGCAACAGATGGCGGCCCGAGCGTCGTAGACACAACCGGCATGGTCCAAACCGACCATTTGTGCGCCGCGGCCCCCCTCGTCGTGTGCCGCAGGCAGACGTCTACTCTGGATGTTGCAGCACGGTTTGTCAAACCGACCGCGCCGTGAGGCGCGAATAGGTGATAGATTTCGGTGCACGTGTAACGTGCTATGTGGTTGGGAAGTACCTTTCGAAAGTCGGGGTCGGCGAGCCTAATAGAGAAAACCGGAAGTCCTAGAGACACGCCCGAGGTGTCTGAAGAGAGCTGACGGTCCCCCCATGAGCAGAGAAATTTTTCAGAACGATCCCGCCACGGGAAGGGCCCGAAAAACGGCCCGAAAGACCGAAAGTGCCTTTCTCTTTCACTACGTTGGTCACATGACGTTCCATATAAGGTAATCCTTTGATTTCTTGCCGTTTCCCGGGGTTTCCGGGCCGCGCGAGGCGACAGGGACCTCGCTAAAATTATTTCGAATTTTTTCGAGGCGGGGGGGTTTCCCCTCCCCGCCCCAGATAACGAAAACGGGATTTCTTAGTTTTTTAAAACCTGGCAACACCGTTTCGGCAGTCTGGTCTGTGTCGTTATCGGAAATAAGGGTTCCGGTGTAGGCAGAGGGCTCATACTCGGAAAACGTGTATAACTAAACTAATTAACCACTCGAAAAAAATTTGGGACGGATCCGGCCACCTTGTGGTCAAATATTGAAATCGCTAAATTTCGGCTTCCGCGATAGATAGAGTCTTCGAAGTCGGTCAGTGGAAAGCTTTTGTGTTACTCTTTCTTAGTTTGGAGACTCTACCGCACCCGTGCTCCCACTAGTGGTCAAATCGCAAAAATCTATATCTCGAGTTCTGCGATACATAGAGTCTTCAAACTCGGTCAGTGGAAAGCTTTGGTGGTACTCTTTCTTAGTTTGAAGTCTCTACCGCACACGTGCTCCCACTAGTGGTCAAATCGCAAAAATCTGTATCTCGAGTTCTGTAGTTAGTAGAACCTGTAAACCTGGCCGACACGTTGTACTAGCAACACTCTTTCTTTATTTCATGAACTAGAGTACCCCACACGCCCCCTAGTGGTGAAAAGCCTATATGTCGATTAAACATGATAAACATTTCAAATTTGGGGGGCGTGCGCCGATCGAATTTCCGCGATTCGATCGGCGCAACTTACGGCGGTGATAGAGACGCGAGTGCTACGTTTTTAAACAAGCGTCAAGCTTTACAAATGTTCGCGAGAGCGCATTTCCCTCTCGTTGGGAGGCCAAAGGCCGCACCTTTGACACCACTGGATGGGATCCGCCGTCTTTTTAATCGCAGCGATAGCTGCAACAGAGGACAGGCAACAGCGGCCAGTTAGATTAGGTTGTATAGTAGTCCCACTCCGTCATCGCCTATGTTACGGAGAACCGCAAGTCCTAGAGACAAGCGGGAGGTGTCAAAAGATGGGGAACGGGGGCAAACTAACAAAGAAAATTTTTCAGAAAGATCGGGCCACGGGAAGGGCCCTAAAAACGGCCCGAAAGTTCCCAAAGTGCGTTTCTCCTATAATCGTCAAGCACATGATGTTCCATATAAGGCAATCCTTTGATTTCTTATGAAAAGAGCCGTTTTCTCGGGGTTTTCGGGCCGTGAAAGGTGAGTGGGACTTTGATAAAATTATTTCAAGTGTTTTTAAGGCGGGGGGGATTTCCCACCCCGCCTACATTATCGAAAACGTGTTTTGTGAAACCTGGCAACACTATTTAGGTAGTGTATTCTGTGTTAACGAAGCCTGTGATGGGAAATATGGGTTCCCGTGTGGGTAGAGGGCTCGTACTTTGGAAACGTGCATAACTAAACTAATTACCCCGTCAAAAAAAGTCTTGGACTTGTCCGGCCACCTTGTGGACAAATATTTAAATCGCTAAATCTCGGCTTGTACGATAGATGGAGTCTTCAAAGTCGGCCAGTGGGAAGCTCTAGTGTTACTCTTTCTTAGTTTGGGGACCCAACCGCACCCGAGCTCCCACTAGTGGTCAAATCGCAAAAATCTATATCTCGAGTTCTGCGATAGGTAAAGTCTTCAAACTCGGTCAGTCGAAAGGTTTGCTGGTATTCTTTCTTAGTTTGAGACTCACCGAATCTCGGCACCCACTAGTGGTCAAATCGCAATAATCTATATCTCAGCTTCTGCGATAGATAGAGTCTTCAAAGTCGGTCAGTGTAAAGATTTGGTGGCACTTATACATAATTTAGGGAATTCAACACACCGACTCCCACTAGTGGTCAATTGCAAAGATGTATCTCCAGTTCTGTTAGTTAGATAGAACCTTTATTATACTTGGCCAACACGTCGTCTCCTTATCAATGCGACAAACCGTTTTTGTTCTGGGGCTTATGGCGTCGGACGGATTCATGCCGCGATACGTCCGCGCACGAATGGCGGGCACGGAGCGTCATAGACACTACCGGCCTGGCCCGAACCAACCGTTTGTGCGCCCGCGGCCCTCCTCGTCGTGTGCCGCAGGCAGACGTCTACCCTGGATGTTGCAGCACGGTTTGTCAAACCGACAGCGCCGTGAGGCGCGAATAGGTGATAGATTTCGGTGCACGTGTAACGTGCTTTGTGGTTGGGAAGTACCTTTCGAAAGTCGGGGTCGGCGAGCCTAATAGAGAAAACCGCAAGTCCTAGAGACACGCCCGAGGTGTCTGAAGAGAGCTGACGGTCCCCCCATGAGCAGAGAAATTTTTCAGAACGATCCCCCCACGGGAAGGGCCCGAAAAACGGCCCGAAAGACCGAAAGTGCCTTTCTCTTTCACTACGTTGGTCACATGACGTTCCATATAAGGTAATCCTTTGATTTCTTGCCGTTTCTCGGGGTTTCCGGGCCGCGCGAGGCGACAGGGACCTCGCTAAAATTATTTCGAATTTTTTCGAGGCGGGGGGGTTTCCCCTCCCCGCCCCAGATAACGAGAAAGGGATTTCTTAGTTTTTAAAACCTGGCAACACCATTTCGGCAGTCTGGTCTGTGTCGTTATCGGAAATAAGGGTTCCCGTGTAGGCAGAGGGCTCATACTTGGAAAACGTGTATAACTAAACTAATTAACTACTCAAAAAAAATCTGGGACGGATCCGGCCACCTTGTGGTCAAATATTGAAATCGCTAAATCCCGGCTTCTGCGATAGATAGAGTCTTCAAAGTCGGTCAGTGGAAAGCTCTAGTGTTACTCTTTCTTCGTTTGGAGACCCAAACGCACCCAAGCTCCCACTAGTGGTCAAATCGCAAAAATCTATATCTCGAGTTCTGCGATAGATAGAGTCTTCAAACTCGGTCAGTGAAAGCTTTGGTGGTACTCTTTCTTAGTTTGAAGTCTCTACCGCACACGTGCTCCCACTAGTGGTCAAATCGCAAAAATCTGTATCTCGAGTTCTGTAGTTAGTAGAACCTGTAAACCTGGCCGACACGTTGTACTAACGACACTCATTCTTTATTTCATGAACTAGAGTCCTCAACACGCCCCCTAGTGGTAAAACGCCTATAGATCGATTAAACTTGGTAAACAATTCAAATTTGGGGGGCGTGCGCCGATCGAATTTCCGCGATTCGATCGGCGCGACTCACGGCGGTGATAGAGACGCGAGTGCTACGTTTTTAAAAAAGCGTCGAGCTTTACAAATGTGCGCTTTAGCGCTTTTCCCTCTCGTTGGGAGGCCGAAGGCCGCACCTTTGACACCACTGGATGTTGCAGCACCGGTTGTCAAACCGACCGCGCCGTGAGGCGCGAATAGGTGAATAGTTTTCGGTGCACGTATAACGTGCGAAGTGTGGTTGGGTTGTGAGTGCAAAAGTCGGGGTCAACAAGCTATTAGGAGAAAACCGCAAGTCCTACAGGGTCGCCCGAGGTGTCTAAAGAGAGCTGACGGTCCCCCCATGACAGAGAAAATTTTTCAGAACGATCCCGCCACGGGAAGGGCCCGAAAAACGGCCCGAAAGCCAAAAAGTGCCTTTCTCCTTCAATGCGTAGGTCACATGACGTTCCATATAAGGTAATCCTTTGATTTCTTGCCGTTTCCCGGGGTTTCCGGGCCGCGCGAGGCGAGAGGGACCTCGCTAAAATTATTTGAATTTTTTCAAGGCGGGGGGGTTTCCCCTCCCCGCCCCAGATAACGAGAAAGGGATTTCTTAAGTTTTAAAACCTGGCAACACCATTTCGGCAGTCTGGTCTGTGTCGTTATCGGAAATAAGGGTTCCCGTGTAGGCAGAGGGCTCATACTTGGAAAACGTGTATAACTAAACTAATTACCCACTCAAAAAAAATCTGGGACGGATCCGGCCACCTTGTGGTCAAATATTGAAATCGCTAAATTCCGGCTTCTGCGATAGATGGAGTCTTCAAAGTCGGTCAGTGGAAAGCTTTTATGTTACTCTTTGTTAGTTTGGAGACTCTACCGCACCAGAGCTCCCACTAGTGGTCAAATCGCGAAAATATATATCTCGAGTTCTGCGATAGATAGAGTGTTCAAACTCGGTCAGTTGAAAGCTATGGTGGTACTCTTCCTTAGTTTGAAGTCTCTACCGCACACGTGCTCCCACTAGTGGTCAAATCGCAAAAATCTGTATCTCGAGTTCTGTAGTTAGTAGAACCTGTAAACCTGGACGACACGTTGTACTAACGACACTTATTCTTTATTTCATGAACTAGAGTCCTCAACGCCCCCTAGTGGTAAAACGCCTATAGATCGATTAAACGTGGTGAACAATTCAAATTTGGGGGGCGTGCGCCGATCGAATTTCCGCGATTCGATCGGCGCCACTCACGGCGGTGATAGAGACGCGAGTATTACGTTTTTGAAGAAGCGTCGAGCTTTACAAATGTGCGCGAGAGCGCTTTTCCCTCTCGTTGGGAGGCCAAAGGCCGCACCTTTGACACCACTGGATGGTAAGGCAAGTATATAGCAGTTTAGTGCTATAGCACAGTATGGATCAGAATTCGTTGCACGAAAGGACTGGTATAAAGTATATTTGCTAAGGGCCTACGGGTTACCATTTCGAGAAAAACTGGCGGGCCGATTGGGACAAAATTTGGCATGTAGGTCGGGGACAGTGTCGGTATAACGCAGAAAATTTTTGGGAACGATCGGGCCAGAGGAAAAGGGCCAAAACGGGCTTTTGAGGGCTCAAGGCTGTTTATTGGTCAATCAGCTGTCAATCAAGTCACGCTACAGTGATTTTGGTGTTTAGAGGCCGTTTAGCTTCGTTTCCGGGGCCAGAAAGCGTTTGCCCGAGTATTGGGAATTTATACAAGTACTATTGGGGGTGGGGGCACTGCCACCACCCCCCCAGTGGTGAGAAAACGTGTGAAAAGCCACGCCCACTTAAGCAATAGGGTTTTGGGGCGATTAGGAGCACTTGGAATCGGTTTTTGGGCAAATTGATGCATAAATATCGAAGGGACTAATTAATAGAATATATTACCACCCGAACTTTGGGGATTCCCCTTCCCCGTAACGGTCCAGTGAGTTCGGAATGTTGCGCTTATAATTTGAGATATTGAGAGAAAAAAATACATAGGTAGGTTGAGAAAAATTAGTTTAATACTTTTTTCAAGGAATTTTTTTCCTCCCATGCCTCCGTCACGGTCTAGTGATTTTGGCCTTTAGCCGGCTTCAGAGAGGTCTTATCAAGAATCTGAAGGCATGGGCATGATCGGAAAAATCATTCGAATCAGTTTTGGGTAGAATTTTTTTTCTCCCACATGTCAGTCACGCTCCAGTGATTTTAGGTCATATCTCGAGAATGGTAATAGATGGGGATGTAATATTTGGGCCATACAAGGTATATAAAGTGAAGATAATGACAAAAAAATTTCGTCACGGTTGAGTGAACACGGACCCTAAAATTGATAGAAATCGATTTCCATTAAGAGTGATCAGTTTATGACGTATTATTTAAACTACTTAATGGACTAAAGTGGCTGGGGGCAGTGCGCCGGACGAATTTCCGCCATTCGTCCGGCGCAACGACCCCGGTGCAACCATCAAATTCATTATATAACATCCGCTTTTTTATACTCAAATCTTTTCCTTACATTTCCCTCGCGGGTAGCGTAGCGACCTTCCCCTGGATATTGATGACTGTTACAAGATCGCCGAAACATCTCTCTGCATGTTCATCTTTTGCTCTTGCCCATGTTATCATAGCTTGCCATGATGTTTGATAACTTACATTTGAGACTTTTATGTAACGCAGGAGATCTGGCTTGATAATAAACGAGAACATCTCAGAGGATGTTACTGATTTGAAATTAGTGATCAGCACATGTTCTGCTTGTTCTTTTACATCATGACGATCGTATGCTTGAGCCAAGTTGATGACAGAAAGACAATTGGTTCGAGACAGATTGGTTTCCAAGTAATGGAAGCAAAAGTTTGTCAAACTAACCCTTTGTAACAGGTTGGATGCTTGCAGGATTTGTTGAATGTATTCCATTTTCAAATTTGCTCCTACTTTATACATGAACTCTATACATTGGGAAATCCCATTTTGATCAACATCTTCCATATTAATAAAATCATCACGAGATTCCTTCATTTTGCTTGAAAACATTGCTTTAAAGTATCCTGATGGGGCTGCCAAGACACAGCGATGAGCACGAAAGGATTTGTCACCAACTCTGACATCAAAATTGCAGAGAATGTTTTGTTCTCTCAAGCTATCGAGTGATGTCATGAGCAAACTGGCTTGTGTTAAATTTGTTTGTTTTATGTAATCTTCATTCATAATCAGTCACGTCAACCTTGCTCAGATTAGTAACTAAATACTCAAATATAACAATTCTAATGCCTGTTTAAATATAAACAATTTTTATTATATCTTTCTACAGTTCTATTAGTCTATACCCATATTCTGATACCGGTATTCAATAAAAATATGCAAGATAAATTAAAAGGAAAGGTAGACATAGACTACTAATTACTAGATAGATAGATATAGTTTATTCGAATACTCCATAATACTGTAATATAGACTACAGAAATTTTGAATGGATAATTCTGGAGGGCGAGCAAAACCTTTAAAAAGGTTAAAAACATGAGAAATATCATGTGCCAGCCCACCCTGCCACCAGCACACACACAAAAATAAATTACAAAAAAACTAATTCAAAAAAGTCTTAGGCCAAAAATAATCAAACAAAAGATACTCGAATGTAGGGAACCTCCGGGCTGTGGGTCTCGTGTAGTTTCGTACCTAACGTACTTCTAGTGGGCGTAGCATAACAATTTTTTGATATGTCAATTCTAACCCCCATCTGACTACGCCATCCAAAAATTAAATCACTACGACATCACAATCACCTCATAGAGCTTGCCAAATATAAGCACGATCGACCGAAATGGCATTGGCGCCGACGATAAAGAACTGACTGACGTTATCGATCCCTCTCCTATCGGAATTGTTGCGACGAGAAAACGAGAGAAATAACTGTTCGATTTCGGGTGCTTGTTTGCACGTCTTGGATGGCAGTTCGTATAGTTTGAAGGGCTCTATTATGTCACTGTGACGTCGTAATGACGTAATTTTTGGATGGTGCAGTCAGGTGGGGGTTAGGATTGATGCGTGGAAAAATTGTCATGCTACGCCCACTAGAAGTATGTTAGGTACGAAACTACATGAGACCCCGGGCTGTTACCGTATACTTGGGAAACATCTAAGCAATTGCAGTAATAATGACCGTCTCTACTGGTATATGCCAGCGATACGCTGGTAACTAAATGTGTATTTTGTGCCATCCCGCAACAGCGTAAACTGAATGTTACGATGAATTGATAAACAAGCGATGAATTGATAAACGAGAATATCGGTTGGAAACCGAAGACTTATCGATCGATAGTTAGGGGATCCCCCATATCGATCGATAGTTAGGGGATCCCCCAAAACAGAAACTGCAGTTTCGATTCATCCGCTCTTGTAACTTGCGCACTGCGCATCGCAGACACACTCGGCGGGTCTCAAAATTCTCGCTTTACAAAAATCTAGATCACTATATCAATAATTGATTGATAACTCGCTAATTATACGACATAATTCGCCCAAAATCAATAGGCTTCTGGTCCGAGATAAGATGAATGCACATGCAAAATCTGGAGCAGATTCAATCTCGCTTTCGTGAGATATCGCGTGCATCCAACAGACATACAGACAAATACCTATCAACATACTTACCGATTAAAATCGATAAGTAACAAGCTAGACAGAGTCAAGTCAAGTTTGTTTTTTCCAACCAGTAAAATCAACAACAATCGAAGATCAGCCAATAAAAAATAAATAAATCAGGTATAATAATGAAAAAGAGAATTTATACAGTTTTACTGGAGACAGATATTTAATATAAATTGTAATAAAAAATTCCCTTTCACGAGAGCCACAAGAGGAGACCAACGAATAGACGGGGAATCCCCGATGTTATCTGGATCAGGGTTGCCATATTGGCTTTTTTAACGCCAAATTTGCCATTTTTGGCTTTTTTCAAACGCGTTTGGCGTCAGAATTTCCGTTTGGCTTTTTGGCGTTTTTTTGGCTTTTTTCAAGTCTATTCTAGTGTCTAATATTAGAATCATATGAAATACAATATTTAGTGTGTAACAACTGAACAATAGCCTATTACCTGTACTTAGCTACTTAACATTAGGATTTCCTGGAGCATCGATTTCCTTGTTTGTTACATTGACTTTTAACCATACCGAATAAGAAATAATTGCAGTTTCTGCAGCTGCTCAGACAGATGTTCAAGCAGGGTTGTAAACATTGCCTCGTTTTTATAGTTTTGCGTGTTATTTGTCAGTTTTACGTTCTGTTTCCAAAAAATAGTTGTATAACTCAATTTTCATTATGCCTGATATGGTTTATGTGAGATTTAGTTTAATTCTGCAATTGCAGTAACGATGTGATTCAACTACGCTAAAATTACTGAATAAGATATCAGTGGTCCACCTATGAGCGACAGGGGGTTATGTAATTTTTTAATAAAATTTATGGTTTATAAATTTTGAAAATGAAAAAATTTTCAATAGTAGAGTAGGATATAGGGAGAATTTTTTAAGGTATATCACAAGTTTAAGTAGAAACATGTAGGTATATAACATACTGACAGACTGAAGCGGCACCCTGTATTGTATATATTGAATGGTAAAATAATGCTGTCCGCTCGATATTTATTTTACTTTCTACAGTTGTATAGGAACTTTACTTTCTATTCGTGTGCCTCACTCAATGAACTAATGACTCTATATCATCATCAGTACGTTGCCAAGGGCTTAAAATCTGACAAATCATGGGGCTTTTGTACTTAGTAAAATTGTTGGCTTTTTCTGGCAACCCTGATCTGGATTATGGATCAAAGCATGACTGTGCTTTAAAAGATACCCATTGAGGTGTATATCAATGAAGATATCGGATACCCCAGGTTTGGGAATTTTGAAGGTGGTTAGCCACGTGCTTACATTGTGAAATGCCAGGCGATGTCTACTTATGGGGGGAAAAATCAGGTACCGTAAAGCAGTGATTTTTAACCAGTGTTCCGCGGAACACTGGTGTTCAGCGAGAGACCTTCAGGTGTTCCGCCGCGGAAAATTGCTTTTTGAAGGAATATTACGTTATAACTGAAATTCAACCAGCCGATGAACTTTTACAAATTACACAAGGCTGCGGGTTGATGTATGTAGGTACTAGATTGGGACCTCCAGAAAATTTCCAATTCTTGCTAAAAAGCGCTTCCAATCTTGCTACCGTTTTTATCTACCTATGCTATCCTTGCGAAATGAGCTTTTTGAACATGATCGACCTAGGGCTCGACAAAATAATCGAATAGCGAATGGAAAATTAAAATATTCGAATGGCATTTTACTATTCGTATATCCCAGGGGTGGCCAACACGTCGATCGCGATCGACCGGTCGATCGCCAAGTCTTGAGTAGTCGATCGCGTCTGAAGTTAAGCGAATTTCATAACAAACATACCTCCCGAAATTGCCTTGAATCAGTTTCATGCAGCTCACTTTGTGTGTTAAACAGCAATAATACATTACTGTGCATGGGCAAAATACGATATACGCATATAGTATTTGAGTCTGGGCAAGCCCGATAGCGCATATTATTGCGTAACAAATGCCAAATATCGTGTGCGATAAAAGTAGTGTAAGTCCAAGACTAGTGCGATAAATCGTATTCCCAACGGTAGCAGTGGAATCAGAATGTCCTATTTTTTACCAATTCCAAGCAAAGAATCGGACTCGGCAGAAATTGTAAATTAGGAAGCTTGAGCAGTCTTGTAACATTTATGGTTTGGGATAAATATTTTTTACTGTTTAAGTAATACATGGATACTAGGCAAGGTTTTTTGAGTAGTTTTCAACATTTACGACTAAAAATTAGGCGGGTCTTAAATCTCAATTGTATGATTTGAATAAATCTTGAATGAATGGTGAAACATTCACTACGGGTACAATTACATAATCAAATTAAATGGAACATGGAAAAATTTTGTGGCGATTTCGTTAAGAATGCGCCCAAAGAACTTAGCTTATTGGCAGCGGCGGATTTTTTTGTATGCGTGTTTGCATATTCAGTACTCATTCGTTTTTTGTGTATGGCCTTATTACGGATCAGTCGATCGCGAGCTATTTTGACGATTTTAGTCGATCGCGGTCGAAAGCAGGTTGGCCACCCCTGGTATATCCGATAGCACGCGACCTGTACCGGTGTCTGCTTGGGCACGAAACTCGCGCGCCGGTAAGTTTTCTGATAATTGTTTTTATGAGTGTCCGCATACCGAATTTACCGTCATGGTTTTGCGTTTGTTTGTATATTAAACCACTTATCACCTTTTCGGCAATGTCCAATCTAGCAATCAGTGTAGTTTTTCATGGCTTGTTTTTTTTAGAGCTTCCATGGCTTCATGAGTATGACTATCGTCGCCAATTTATTACATTCCACTCCCCACATTATCTTTGAATGAGATTGTATTGGTCATTATCAACATAAGTGTTAGAAGTACAGCATCCTCAAAGTTTAATACTATCGTGTATTTTGTTTGTTAAGTTTGGCCCAGGCCTCATTTAACTAGGCTTGTGTTTTTGTGTGTGTGCTGGTGGGCAGGCACATGAGATACTTCTGATGTTTTAAACTTTTTTAGGTTTTGCTTGCTCTCCGGAATCCTCCATTTTTAATTTATGTTTGTTCTGGAGTTACAGTTTGGGTGACTAACGCGGATCAAATCCAATTTCTCTGAATAGTGGCAGTAACCAATCTTTGATTAAACGTAGCTTTTCTAAATCATTGAAACCAAAAGATATAGCCATGGGAATATTCATGGTTTGGATTTGCAGGAGGGCCGATCCATGAAGAACCTTCTGAAGACATTAAAATTTAAAAATTAGACCACCAAGACCAGATATTTGATATCTGAGATACGGCTTTGAGAAAACCTTGTCATGGTGTCACACTGATTTTGCCAATTATTTTCAAACAGTATGATTATTATCTAGGAAGCATTCAGAGTAAAATACCGGTTTGTCAAAAATCAGTTGATGTTCTTGTCGGTAGGGATTATGCAATTTTAATTCAAACAAAACATTCTTTACGTTCACAAACTACTCCAGACATTTATTTTTTAGCCGTTATCTATACGGAGGCGTTATTCTGGCTCCAGAACGATCTTTTAATCTTGTGTGCTAATGTTAACAATGTGGTCGTTGTTGTTCAGCATTAGAAAATGAAGAGTTGCGTAAGATTTTCGTAGGTGAAGTTATTGGATTACTTTACTTGTATGAAAGAGGTACGTGAGATTTGGTAATTCAGGGATGATGGTAGCAGACACTAATATATAACAATATCTTGAAGAATCTCTCTATATATTTCCCTAAAAAACTAATTAGAACGGTAAACTCTCATTCATAAAAATATTTGAAGCGGGTAAACTCGCGATGTTTTGATCACTTAGGGGTTTTCTCCGACTGTGGTAGGCGAGACATCGTCAATAGTTTTCGCGGCCCGTCAACCTCGAGAACTATAACATGCTCGAAATCAGAATAAAGTGTTATTTCCTTGCGAGCCAGTGATCCTAAACCAGCAACAGCATATTTGCAAGGTGGTTTCCCAAAAATATCAATACATTGTGACGATATTGAACTCATTAGCCAAGTGAATTTTTGTGTGTTATTCCTCAACATATTTCTGACAATTTCCACTTTTTGAGATCGTTTTTCCAGAAGCAAATGATCTGGAAGATCATCTTCTAAAATGGGTAACTTCTCTTTTA